AGGAAAGGATTGAACTACATCAGATCTGTAAAATGACTAAAATACCCCTGTAATGGAAATGGCCCAAGAATATCGCCAAGCTTAGGAATGATTGGATATCCTCGAGCTCTGTAATGAATGGAATAAAATTAAACACCAAAATGACCAGAATACCCTTATGGCCTATACTAAGTAAATATATTAGATTAATTAAGGAATCCAAATAAGCATAGGTGTTGGACTACCTTTAAAAGTTATGGAACACATCTTAATTGAGTTGATCAATCTTAATGATATGTCAGTACCTGAACGACATAGATATTACTTGAAAGTGTGTTCGTCTTCTCAAGTGTGGCTTGATGATAATTTTGGAAGTATTCAGCTCAACTAAACTCTAGATCGCATTCGATATTAAGAAGTGAATATTCATTAGACAAATCAACTACGAATACCAAATTGAATTGAACGAAAGTACAATATGTATATGAAATTCAGAAACGTCTCAATTATTATGGAAAACCCTGAAGTAACTGTAAATGACTTAACTGCTAAATGAACTAAGTAACCTCAATGATTGAGGATTAAGTAAGTGATTTGGATAAGTCTGAAAACTTTGATGAGTTTACATAGTGTACTATTATTGTGGGTTATGAACCAAAAATCAAGTACGTTAGCATTTCCTGATATCGTTGAAGTGGGGAAATAAAATAAAGAACATTGGAAGATTCATTCAATGATGACTCAAAGATGATTTATGAACAATAATTATTGGTATTAAAGAGTGAATACCTGAAGGACAAATAATGATCCGGTCAACATGCATTAGTTCTGGGAGTTGTTCAGCTTGAGTTATTTCGAAAATCCGATAGATCAACACAGATAGTAAATGTCCTGAATCTTCATTTCTTCCTTATCAGCTCAAGTCACATTCTGAATAACTGATGATTCCGTCAGTTATTGAACTCTTCCAATAGTGATTCTAAATTCCGACATTCTATCGGTGTTGTAACACCCCCAACCCGTATCCGACCCGGATACGAGTCCGAAGTGTCACATTGACTTTTCAAACCTTGACTCTTAAGAAAAATCCCGGGAAATTTAAAACTTTATTTAAAACAAAATACAGACTTTATCAGAGTGCTCGTACTTAATGACTTATTACATGCCAACACTTTATACATAACCGAAAACATACTTTGTCAAATATTTCTGATATGATCTTTTGGTAAGGAAAACTGACCTGTCTTGCTCCGCAACACTCCTTACCCTTCTCGAAACCTACGTATGAAACAATCACACGCTAAGTCGAAGACTTAGTGAGGCATAACTTAATGCACTTTAAAACCTATATTGATACATGCATGTTCTGTTCTATCATGTTACAGCAACTTCATGCATTTTTCATATCGTATAAAATCATATCAGATTAATTGCAGTAAAGACATGCATACACATAGTTCATCATTAACAGTTTATCATATAATCACATACTATTTCAATCAAACACTATACATACAACATCATATCATTTCTATAGCATTTATCATACCACTAACTTATATTTGTTCATATTTCTGGATTAGCCCATGTACATATGTGAGAACTATCGATATGTGAGTCTATAGAGGTTGTGCACTATGCTGTCACCACAGCTCGTATAAATGCACCGAAGTGCCCGTAGAATTGCACCGAAGTGCCCGTAGAATTGCACCGAAGTGCCCGTAGAATTGTCCATAAGGACCACGTAGAATTCCTTAAGAATCATATACATATACTATGGATCAAGTATGTGTCTTTCAAGACTTCACACAGGTTCCAAAGGATATACATATGTCCTAAAGAACCGAATAAACCCTCGACTCTTGGCATGCCAACTATACCCCTAGCTCTCATGACACATAACATGGGCGTTATCTTTTATTTCATTTCAAATATACACATAAACTTGTAATTCACTTTCACATATCACGTATCACATAGCTTCTTTTCATATGATCACATAGTCACATAGTTCACTTACCCGTAGATCATTTCCATATAATTCACATGTCACATATGTCATGTTTTCATATAAATTCTATCATTTCTCACCCAATCACCTTTATTCATATAAACATACTTATCATATCTTGTTCACATAAGATCATATACTTCATATAATATTGAAACACCTAGAACACTTTCACGTAGCTTATAGTCATAAGTTTTGTCTCGTAACATATACTTGTTTTCACATATCTATTTCCTATCAATTCTTATACCATCACATAATTCCTTTAACATACATAACATATCATATAACATTATAATAGAAATACTTATAAGTCATATCACTTAAAGCACATATACTTATAGTCACATTGCTTATATCTTAATCGTATGCCTTCTCTTAAACATATATATTCACATGTTCAGGTAATTCACCATTTCATCACATAAATGGGGTATTCATATAACTCATTTCATTTCATTTCATATCTATCTATATATATATATCCTCAAGATTATCCTAATATAAATCATATAGCACTCTTATATTTCGTATTCATCTAGGGCAGACTTATAAACATATCTCACTTCTATTATTTCTATATATAATCTAATCTGTTACTTAATTCAATTTCATATAGCTCTTATAATCTTCTCATATAACTTCACAAATTTCTATCATTCAACCCATGTGTTATAGTTTTATTTAAACCTATGAATCCTTCCCATCTAGCTTATCTTATACGTTCATCTTATCATTTATGTTCAAATCCCCTAGTTGGTGTACTATTTTCACTTCATCCTATAGATCAATATTATCCAGTTTATTTCACCTATCATGTAAAAATATAATTATATTTTACTATGATCACATAGTTTATATCTCATACTTTGCTTTCTCATATTCACCTATATTATGTCATATGGCTCATATCTTTCTCATGCAGTCACATAGTTCAGTTTCACATATGTATATATATATATACCTTATATAGCACATACTTCTCATAACATTACATTCAAAAGCATATCAACACATATATTCATGCATATATACAATTCATGTCATTCATATACGTATAATCATATATTCATGCATTCTAACATAGGAAATAGACTTGTCGCAAGTCTTATTTCCATTTAGCACCATCAACTAACTAATATGCACTCACCTGGCCTCACTAGCCAATTCCAATCTCTTATCTTTCCCTTGATCGATCTTACTTGCCAAACGTTTCGGAATTGCTTTATGCGTAGAATCTACATAAATGTACATTTCGAGACCATCATTAGATACCTACACCTTGTAATTGGATACTAGCAACTTAAACTAACTAATTAAACCCATATTCCCAATTTTCCTTTAGGGGGAATCGGTTCCCCCCCCATGGGGGTATCGGTTCCCCTATGACATACTGGAAATTCTTGTTCGTTTGAAGGGGTATCGGTTCCCCTTGAATGGGTACCGATTCCCCTTGCCCAGAAATCATATTTTGAGCTCGAAAATCCTTCATTTTCAGTTCAACACATCATACTTCATTCCCTTTAATATTCCTAACTTTCATACACATACTTAAACTCATTTCTACTCCATAATCACTTCTTTAAACTCAAAATTCTATCTTCCATATAAGATTCAAAAATCATACCAAATTTTCAATGTGTTCTAATTCCAATTCTAACACTTCCTACTTCTTAATTAGATTGATGACAAGTCAAATTCATCCATAAAACCTCAACAACCATACCATATCAAAATTTCATCTTAAAACTCATATTAAAATTTCCTTCATAATTCCTTTATCTTATTGTTTAAATCCCATATAAGCTTTCCTTAAGCTTATTTAATACCCAAAGAATCAAAACTAAGCTTAAAACTTAAGAATTATCCAACTGAAATTAACTTACCTTTTGTAGCTAGCCCCACGTGAAGAAGAGAAAGCAAGAAGAAGAAAGCTTCCAGATAGCTCTCTTCCCACGTTTTTCATTCTTATAAAAGGGGGAAGAATATCTTTTAAAGGAAAAGACCATAATACCCTTAATTTCCTTCAATAATTACCAAATAACCTTCCCTATATAAATTCAAATAATTATTGAATTATTTCATTCTTCTACTTTAGTCACCAAATTCTAAAACTTTACAATTTGGTCACTAACCCGGTATTGCGGATGTTACAAATCTCCCCTCCTTTTAAGAAAATTCGTCCTCGAATTTTTTTTTTTCACTGAACAACTTAGTAAGAACATATCTTCTAATGTTCTTATGTTGCTTCCCTGACTTAATCTTTCTTTCTCTTAGTTCTTCAACTACCTTTTTCCTTTATACATCCTTATCATGTTACTTATCATATAACCAATAGCATCAGTTCTTATCACTCAAAATCCTTAATCAATCAAATTCTTTATCAACCTTTAATTACCTTATAACCATACCAAACTTGTATTTCGTCATCATTTGACCAAAACACAACTTTAAATCTTCTTCAATGTGATTAAATCTATACTTTAAGGAGTCAAACAATATTTTCACATCACTTTGTACACTTGTCTTATTTCTATATCAAAATTGTCCTCGGTACTTCCATAGTCATCGTATCTGATCCTTTAAATCAATCCCTTTCATTTCTTTATTCCTTATTCCTTATACATAAATCATATATTTCCTTTCATGTTCACATACTCTTGTCTTATTACTTATACTCATCTTTATGTACCAATCTTCATTGCATCCTCATTACTTTAATAACCCTTTTCTTATACATAACTTCATTCTTTATCATTCTTATACTTGTATTTTTCTTCCTGAAGATTCCATGCAAATACTTATCTCAGTTTCTACATCATAGCTATCTGCTCAGAATATACAATCATATTCAAATTCACATCATAATCAATTAACTCAACTTTACCTTTTTCCTTCCATCTTATTATTCTATCACTTTTACTCTAACCGCTAGTCAATAATATATGTTCAATCTAGGGTACAGACCCTAATCCACCAAACACATACATCCTGTCAAATCGAAATTATCTTAAAAATTCACTTACTCAACTTATCAATTTCACCTCTATTCTCATATATCCTGAAATTTCTTTTGCTCAAACTCAACATTCTGACTTTCTGTGTCTTATCATCTGATCATCGATATACATATTCTCAAACTCTTCTTATCAATCCTCAGCTTTATTTAAATATACAAATTCTTACTTCCTTTTCCTTTACTATACCACATTACTATGATCCAAATATGCAACTGTATCCAGATCCATTACAGATCTGGTTATCATATCCTGACAATATCTTATAATCTTATAATTCCCGTACATTTTTATCACATACTCTAGTTAGCCAATGCTAACTCTTTCCATCTTAACCGCAAACCCTTATCATAAACATACTCTTGTTTATGCGCAATATTATCACTTCGTTCCAAACTCATAAGCTCTGACATATACATCTTATACGCTTGTCACTGATGCACTTATCCTTGAGTTCTTCTATATGTAATCCTCACGTCATTAGATCTTTTTAACATTCTTATGGTGACACCCGTTCACCATATTCTATCTTATTCACATAATAGCAAAACTACTCTACATCGTTTTTCCGATTCCAAACGATGAAAATTTTCTATCATTATTCAGATATGATTTCAGCTTTCTGAAATCAACTTTTGATCTTACTAGGCATTTCCTGAGGTGTCCGCTCTTCATCCTGCCTGGCCAGGGCAAGTGAATAGCTATCACAATCAGGAATATCACCTTTCACTTACTTCGAAATTATCACGATCGGATTTCTACTGTGTTAAACTATTCTTATTTTATTAGCAAGACAACGTATTCCTTACACTATCAGATCAGAAATTTTTCAATCTATGTTGGCATGTACACCTTTTATGACCTTTTGGACTTCGGTTTATGCCGAGAATCGGCTAAACCATGGCTCTGATACCATTAAATGTAACACCCCCAACCCGTATCCGACCCGGATACGAGTCCGAAGTGTCACATTGACTTTTCAAACCTTGACTCTTAAGAAAAATCCCGGGAAATTTAAAACTTTATTTAAAACAAAATACAGACTTTATCAGAGTGCTCGTACTTAATGACTTATTACATGCCAACACTTTATACATAACCGAAAACATACTTTGTCAAATATTTCTGATCTGATCTTTTGGTAAGGAAAACTGACCTGTCTTGCTCCGCAACACTCCTTACCCTTCTCGAAACCTACGTATGAAACAATCACACGCTAAGTCGAAGACTTAGTGAGGCATAACTTAATGCACTTTAAAACCTATATTGATACATGCATGTTCTGTTCTATCATGTTACAGCAACTTCATGCATTTTTCATATCGTATAAAATCATATCAGATTAATTGCAGTAAAGACATGCATACACATAGTTCATCATTAACAGTTTATCATATAATCACATACTATTTCAATCAAACACTATACATACAACATCATATCATTTCTATAGCATTTATCATACCACTAACTTATATTTGTTCATATTTCTGGATTAGCCCATGTACATATGTGAGAACTATCGATATGTGAGTCTATAGAGGTTGTGCACTATGCTGTCACCACAGCTCGTATAAATGCACCGAAGTGCCCGTAGAATTGCACCGAAGTGCCCGTAGAATTGCACCGAAGTGCCCGTAGAATTGTCCATAAGGACCACGTAGAATTCCTTAAGAATCATATACATATACTATGGATCAAGTATGTGTCTTTCAAGACTTCACACAGGTTCCAAAGGATATACATATGTCCTAAAGAACCGAATAAACCCTCGACTCTTGGCATGCCAACTATACCCCTAGCTCTCATGACACATAACATGGGCGTTATCTTTTATTTCATTTCAAATATACACATAAACTTGTAATTCACTTTCACATATCACGTATCACATAGCTTCTTTTCATATGATCACATAGTCACATAGTTCACTTACCCGTAGATCATTTCCATATAATTCACATGTCACATATGTCATGTTTTCATATAAATTCTATCATTTCTCACCCAATCACCTTTATTCATATAAACATACTTATCATATCTTGTTCACATAAGATCATATACTTCATATAATATATTGAAACACCTAGAACACTTTCACGTAGCTTATAGTCATAAGTTTTGTCTCGTAACATATACTTGTTTTCACATATCTATTTCCTATCAATTCTTATACCATCACATAATTCCTTTAACATACATAACATATCATATAACATTATAATAGAAATACTTATAAGTCATATCACTTAAAGCACATATACTTATAGTCACATTGCTTATATCTTAATCGTATGCCTTCTCTTAAACATATATATTCACATGTTCAGGTAATTCACCATTTCATCACATAAATGGGGTATTCATATAACTCATTTCATTTCATTTCATATCTATCTATATATATATATATCCTCAAGATTATCCTAATATAAATCATATAGCACTCTTATATTTCGTATTCATCTAGGGCAGACTTATAAACATATCTCACTTCTATTATTTCTATATATAATCTAATCTGTTACTTAATTCAATTTCATATAGCTCTTATAATCTTCTCATATAACTTCACAAATTTCTATCATTCAACCCATGTGTTATAGTTTTATTTAAACCTATGAATCCTTCCCATCTAGCTTATCTTATACGTTCATCTTATCATTTATGTTCAAATCCCCTAGTTGGTGTACTATTTTCACTTCATCCTATAGATCAATATTATCCAGTTTATTTCACCTATCATGTAAAAATATAATTATATTTTTACTATGATCACATAGTTTATATCTCATACTTTGCTTTCTCATATTCACCTATATTATGTCATATGGCTCATATCTTTCTCATGCAGTCACATAGTTCAGTTTCACATATGTATATATATATATATACCTTATATAGCACATACTTCTCATAACATTACATTCAAAAGCATATCAACACATATATTCATGCATACATACAATTCATGTCATTCATATACGTATAATCATATATTCATGCATTCTAACATAGGAAATAGACTTGTCGCAAGTCTTATTTCCATTTAGCACCATCAACTAACTAATATGCACTCACCTGGCCTCACTAGCCAATTCCAATCTCTTATCTTTCCCTTGATCGATCTTACTTGCCAAACGTTTCGGAATTGCTTTATGCGTAGAATCTACATAAATGTACATTTCGAGACCATCATTAGATACCTACACCTTGTAATTGGATACTAGCAACTTAAACTAACTAATTAAACCCATATTCCCAATTTTCCTTTAGGGGGAATCGGTTCCCCCCCCATGGGGGTATCGGTTCCCCTATGACATACTGGAAATTCTTGTTCGTTTGAAGGGGTATCGGTTCCCCTTGAATGGGTACCGATTCCCCTTGCCCAGAAATCATATTTTGAGCTCGAAAATCCTTCATTTTCAGTTCAACACATCATACTTCATTCCCTTTAATATTCCTAACTTTCATACACATACTTAAACTCATTTCTACTCCATAATCACTTCTTTAAACTCAAAATTCTATCTTCCATATAAGATTCAAAAATCATACCAAATTTTCAATGTGTTCTAATTCCAATTCTAACACTTCCTACTTCTTAATTAGATTGATGACAAGTCAAATTCATCCATAAAACCTCAACAACCATACCATATCAAAATTTTATCTTAAAACTCATATTGAAATTTCCTTCATAATTCCTTTATCTTATTGTTTAAATCCCATATAAGCTTTCCTTAAGCTTATTTAATACCCAAAGAATCAAAACTAAGCTTAAAACTTAAGAATTATCCAACTGAAATTAACTTACCTTTTGTAGCTAGCCCCACGTGAAGAAGAGAAAGCAAGAAGAAGAAAGCTTCCAGATAGCTCTCTTCCCACGTTTTTCATTCTTATAAAAGGGGGAAGAATATCTTTTAAAGGAAAAGACCATAATACCCTTAATTTCCTTCAATAATTACCAAATAACCTTCCCTATATAAATTCAAATAATTATTGAATTATTTCATTCTTCTACTTTAGTCACCAAATTCTAAAACTTTACAATTTGGTCACTAACCCGGTATTGCGGATGTTACAGGTGTACTGAAGATCCGTGTGTCTCTGCCTGTTAAGATTATCATGTACCTCTGAATAATATCCATAAACTCTGGTGTGTTCCCTAATCACATAAATATTTTATCTGATTTCCGACTTGAATTCTGTTCTGATACATTACCTGAATTCTGTTCTGATTTCTGATCTGGATTATGTTCTGATATCTGATCTGAATTCTGTTTTGATTTCTGATATCTTCGTTTATTGACGGAGAAATGTTTTATATGGGGGGTTTATTGTTGGAGGAAGTATATCTGCAGGCTTCTATGCTGTGTGCTCAGGGCCTTACTGGTTGTGCGGGGTGTATGGTTCCTGGGAACCTACACAAACAGATTGTGAAAGGATGGGGGTATATATATATATATATATATATATATATATATATATATATATTTTAAAAAGATCTGTATCTTTTATTGGTTTTACGGGAACACACTAGATTACCTATTCTGATCTCCTGAACTCAGTCATCCGAAATATTTCTCTGAATTGAAAGATCATTGTCCGTTACCACCTGAAATATCAGTAGGATCTCTGCTCAGCATAAAAAATATGTAGATGTCGGAACCAATAAGGAAATATATTTTTATCTGTATCTGCACATTCTTCAGCATCATCTGGTAGTTCTGTATTACTGAGTTTTCCAAAGCTCACTCTGTTACTCACCTTTTCAGGATAGAAGAATAGTATCAGTGCATCTATCGACTTTAGTAAAGGAGTTCTTCCGGCGTTGTTTGCAGAGTATGGTACATGTGATTAGGGGCATTTAATTGTATTTTATTTTATATACGAGTCTGAAAATCTATTTTATTTATGTGTACTGATAAATCATTTTATAAGTTACATGTTTTAATAAAAGATTTAAATTTTCCGTTATTTTTACAGTGGGTCGCTCCGGTGACCCTAATATGACACTCTAGATTGGAAGGGATTACAGTTCTTTAATGATTCAAGAGACTCAATTTCTCGTTGATCTCAAGGAATTACCTTTCGCGACCTCATTTTAGGATTTGATTGACTAACGAGACATTAAGCTTTGATCGATTGTAAAAAAATAAAGATTATTTATGTTTGGTTTGGGGCAGAATAGTGTCACTATGATGGAAGAGAAGATTAATGGTCCAACTTCCATAGTTTAAGCTATCAAGGCTGATAAAATTGATTTCTAAGGGGTATGAAGTTTTCTTGGCCTACATTATCGGTACGTATAAATTTGAGCTTTTTTATCGCCATATCATAGACAATTTACACTATTTGACTTTTATTCACTCGGATATTGCCTTCATCGTCAATTGTCTTTCTCAAGCCATGCACCGACCTACCATGTCTCATTGGATGACTCTCAAATGCATTATACGATATCTTCAACATGCTACAACCTTTAACCTTCAAATTTATTGAAAAATTTATCATCATTTAATTGCCTATTCTAACTCTGATTGGACTGGTGATATCATTGATCGCACATTTACTACTGATTATGTTGTCTATTTAGGCTCTATTCCTATTTTCTCCGTCTTAAGAAAAGGTTTAGTCACTCTCCTCTAAAGCATAATATTGTTTTGTTGTTGCAACAGTCTCTAAGATAAATTGGCTCACCAATTTGCTTTTCGAATCGCAATTTCCGATTTCAAGCATTCCGAAAATCTTTTGTGATTACGTCAGCACCACCAACATTTGTGTCAATCCAATCTTTCATAGTCGAATAAAACATGTTACTATTCATTTCCATTTTGTATGTGAACAGTGAGTTGAAAATTGCCTTCTTGAAGTAATACATCTTTATGTTGCGGACCAGGCCGTTGATATACTAACCAAGCCACTACCTCATTTCTATTTCATCGTCACTTTCTCACGTTGAACATTGTTAACTCTACTCGCAACTCGCGGGGGGCGTAAAGTCACATAATCATGTTACTATTTGAACTTTAATCATTGGTTGTATTATCACTTATTATCTTTTTAGTTGTTATATATTGTAATTTAATTTTTAAATTTATTAACTTTATTTTTCTTTGTTGATGATATAATTCAATTGGGGTTCTTCCTATCTAAACCTTTCAACTTTGTTCAAAAAGCATAATTCAATTCACCTTCTACATTGTTTCTTTAGATTTGGTTTAAGATTATTCATTTCTTTAGGCTTTGTATGTTTGAATTTTTGTTGGTCCATTTGTTCTCGGGTCATTGGCTCGCTTTTGTTGTAATCTTTTTTCCTTTTTTTTAATGAAAGTTTATCTTTGATTAAAAAAAAAAGATTAATAACACTATATAATAACAAGTGTTGCACTTTATACAATAACAAGTGTTGGGTGCAATGATATAGGCACATTTCACTCATAGTAAAAAAAACTTAAGTTAAAACTTTGGAGATGATATTATCAAGGACAACCATGAACCTATAATTCTAATAATAATATATATATATAATCTTTGTACTCTTAATATATTTATAATTTAATCCCTTCAGTCTTAATCCGTTCATATAAAATGACAAAAAACTCACAAATCAAACGATTTTAATGGTTAAAGAGATGATTGTTATTCTTAGAGGTCTCAAGTTTGGACATCAGCGATTGCAATGTATTTGAACGTTCATTGTCAAATAATTGAGAGTATTTAGAATAAATACAATTAGTTATTATCAACTAAGATTAATATAAAAAAAAAAACAAAGATTGCTACATAAGAAAATCTTTTGGGCAATATCTAGAACGAGATGTGAGGCTAAGAAGTAAAGACTGAATATAAAGCAGAGATATAGTTTTTTCAACCTGGATGAACTGACATTTCTTTTATCTATGACTTGATGCAATCAACCTATGTTCGTCAGGCATTGGGAAAAATTTACACAATGGAGTTTTACCATTCCTCTCATGAAATAAAAAAGAACTTCACAATAAGCTTTTGTCACTTCCACCTTTTTCACAACTGTTTAACAGTAAAAATAAGTTAAGTCCTTTTCCCTGTAAAAAGAAGTTATAATGTGAGAGTAAAAGAAGCTAGTGTAAATAATGGTAATTTTTTTTAACACATATGTTAATAGATTCATATAAATAATGGTATTTAAATTTTAAACATGTTGAAATATATTATTGTTTAGTAACAATATGCATCGACCGGATTAAATCTTTCTGAATTTAATTAACTTATAATATATAAATTAATTTCATAATAAACTTTCAATTAGGGGTTAAGGTGAGTAAATACATTTGGTTGATTTGTTAAGTTGCTCATTTTTATTCTATATATTCTTTTAAGTCATTACTTTTTGATCTACTAGGAGCACTCATCTTCCTTTTCTCATAATCTTCATTCTCCTCCCCTCTAGGTAAGATTGAGATTAAATCTAAAATTTATAATAAAAAATAAAGATTGAGGTCATTATGGTCCTACTCAATTATTTCATATCAAAATTTTTATGTCACCAAAACTATGACCTTAAAAAGAACAATTACACTTAAAATAAATGTTAGGTCCGCAACATAAGTGTCTAGTAGTCCTTAAATCAGGACAAACAACTTGGGACAGTCGATCTCTGGAGGGTCCCCCAACCCCAACAACTCAAATAAAAGTACCCTATTAGTACCTTATTGTTACCGAATTTCTTTATATAAAATATTAAAATATTTAAAAATCATTTTTTCCGTCTTTGTCACTCAGTTAATTTTTGTTTTAAAATTATATCTAATAATATATTTTAATTTTATTTTAGTCACTCACTGTTAAAAATTAACGACGATGTTGACGTATCACCAAAAGATATGCCACATCATTATTGATTTCTTTGAAAAATGTCATGTCAATAGTTTTATAAATTTTTTAACGATATGTGACTAAAATGAAACTAAAACGTAATGGTGATTATAATTTTGAAAAAAATAATTAGTGACTAAAACAGAACAAAAATGATAGTTAGGATACTAAAAGTGCAATTTACCCTATATTAAAATACAAAAATCAACCTTAATCCGATGACCTAACTAGTCCACCAGTCACCTACCTGGAAGCTTTTTCATAGGACAAACCCTTTTGTTTTGTTAGAGATAAGATTAATATTATATGGTATGGTATGGTACGGTTGGTGTGGTGACTGTCATGAGCCAAATATAAATGAATAATTGATAAAATTGGGTCAGTGGTTCAACCGTGTCGTGTGTTGGTTCAGGGCATGAACCACAGGCTAATAAGCAAAACGCAACTACTCCCCCTACTAACCTTTTCTACTTTATCTTTGGTTTTAGAGTACATTAAACTATGAATTTAATTATCCAATTATGAATAGCTAATTGCATCATATATCCCAAAATTATAATTTTCATTTTAAATTGGTCATTAAACTTTTAAATATTCTAATTTCATCTTCAAACTATGACTCTCATTCTAAATTAGTCCTTAAACTTTTGAACATTCTAATTTCATCCCTAAGCCATGACCCCCTTTCTAAACTAGTCTTTAAACTTTTGAATATTCTAATTTCACCCCCAAATTCATCCAAACATGTAATTAGTTTCAACCATAGTTATTTATTAACAAGGGATGTGATTAGTGTATACATATAGTTTGGGATGAAATTAGAATGTTCAAAAAGTTTGGGGACAAATTTATAATGAAAGTCATAGTTTAGGGATGAAATTGAAATGTTTAAAAGTTTGAGGACTAATTTAGAATGATAGTCATAGTTTAGAGATAAATTTGGAATATTAAAAAATTTATGGACCAATTTAAAATGAAGGTCATACTTTGAGGATATATGATACAATTAACTCAATTATGAATTCATCAAATCAATAGATTTTCAACCTTATTTTCAAAGAATGGATTAATTTCATCTTTGGTACTTCCTCTTTTGGTCTTAATTCAAAAATACTTTTTTATGGCTATTTGGATTCAATCCTACCCAATCAAGCCCAAACTTGATCAAACTCTTCAAGATATCATATTATGTTCATTCATAGTCCACTCAGATCAACCTGAAATTCTTAACCCAAAGTACGCAGCGTCACATGAGCTATTCAGAATACAAACAGATTCTCGAATGATGCCTTGAATTTCAGATTCAAGGTCATTTCTAGGCATGGAAGCTGGTGGATTTGGGCAAATAATGATCACCTTTTGTTTGACATTGATCAAATAAAAAAAAAACAACATTCTCTTTGTATGTATGAAATGTATGTGTGCTTCTGTAAAAAAAAACAAAGAGAATATTGTGCTTTATAGTGTGTTTTAAGACTAAAAATGGTGAAGGATTGATTGTATATAGAAAGTGAAGTAGAAAAAATTGACAATAGAGATATCATGGGATTTTGTTTAGTATAAGTTAGAGAAGGTGGTGTTATGTTTTTTACTTTTTCTTCTTGAAGAAGAAGAAGAAGAAGAAGAAGAAACTAAACATTAAATATGGTTTGGGAAAAAAATGTAGACACCAAAATATAACAAAAACAATAATTTAGGTTGACACCAAAATCTAACAAAAACAATAATTTAGGTACTAAACGTACAATTTATCCTAAAAAACTTAATTTCAAATATTTCATAAATACGCTGTAATATCAGATTGGCTTGTCCCACGTCAACATCTTTTACTTTGGACTACATGTTATTTTAAACATCTCAAGAGCAGCAGTAAAGCAAAGCGTAGCATAAGAATGGAGCATTCAAAGGACAATATGAATGGGAATAAAGTGAGTGTAATATAATTATTCTAACGTTCTGCAGCTGACATGATGAAAGTCCCACATCGACGCTTTTTGCTGTAAAGAAAAATCTCAACAAACATTCAAATTCTAAGAGCTCATCATTCTTTTTCACTTTAACATACTATTCAAACACATAACACCTCACTTTTGTCCCCTCCTCACACCCCAAATCAATCTTCGCCCATACTTTATTTTTCTTTTCTGCTAACTTGTACACCAAACATTCTCTCCGCCTTTTCTGTTCCACAAGCATCACACAGACCGTAGACCATCGTCCGGGACTAAAAATAGAGTTGCAGATGTTGAGATTCGAACGTAAATTTGTTGCATATCAATTTTTAATAGTAGTTGCATGAACTAACTCAATAAACCCCCAGGTCTGCACTTTCGTTTGCTTGTATATGTAACTATACTAGACCGTAATCTGTGACAAGAAAAGGGGTTTCAGTTGCTATGATTTGAGAGAAAATCCGGTAGATATCACTTTTTAAAAGCAGTTGCTATGATTTGACAAGAAAAGTGGTTGCCTGTGTATGTAAGTGTGTAACATTGTAACTATACTAGACCGTAGCCGATGACGAGAAAAAGAGTCGAAGAAGCTAAGATTCCAACATTAGTCCACTGGTTGACATCACATAAAACAACTCCGTGGTTCTATAGTTTTCTTTGTTTTTCTAGTGTATGCAACTACACCAGCAATCTTGAACAATAGCAAAAGCATGTAATTGTAAAGGAGAATGTCTTAAATGGTTCAGAAGACATTTCAGATATTAAAGAAGATATAATATATGCCACAAAAGATGTTTATAAACACTGTCCATCCAATGAGTCTTGTGTGTTTTCCTTTTTATTCTGCTATCCTTCTAAACCGGCTTTGATTGGTTTGATTCTGCAACAAGAAATATAAAAGCTTGCAACTCAATTCAATGCTAAAGATCTCAAGAATAATGTAAAACATAGATTTTGATTTGATTTCTTACTTCAATCTTTATCTCTATAAGTTCTTGGATCAAATGGCGACATACAGGACACCTCTTCGATTTCAACCTCAATTGTTTTGCACAATCACTGCAGATACACTGGTGAAGAAAAACTTTACATTAGCAAGATAAAATCGAGCATTTAACAATGTATCTTCAGAGACCAAAAACTACGAGATTGCCTTTTTTCGATATGGAGTGACCGAGGGATCGTACTATCAAATCCATACTAGTTTATAGACATACCGAATCATAACCTAGCTTTCTTAACAATCAAGCTTCATCAGCTAAAAGAAGGAAGAATCTGCTTTCCTAGCCTGTTATCCTGGTTTAAATGAAACAATGGTTGAATTTTCTTTTGCTAGAAAGATGGAATTATTCTATGTTGCTTCGAATCATCATTTTTCATAAAGTATTCGTATTTGACACTAATATCCGACACTTTCAAACATACATACGGAGATCGAGTATACATGTAGCCAACACTCATCCCAATTAACTTAGGAATGGTTTATGAAGGGAAGTCTTACCATATGTCTACAAGGCAAAACAGCAGTATCTTTTGGCTCAGTCATGCAAATCACACATGTCCCAAACGTTTCACTGTCATCATCCAAACCTTGTTCATTACAATTCTCAAACCCGTAGATATCCCGGAGCTCGTATCGAATCCCTTCGATCCACAATATTTGCTTAATTACTTTCACTTCAAAATGGCCCTCATTGTTCAGCTTCAAAGCAGCTTCAGTGATTTGTGCATGAGGAGAAATCGAAAATGGTGGAGGCTGACCAATATCTGCAGTTCCCATTAAAGTTGGTAAACATGCTTCTGCATATAAAACAAGTGGGAAAATGTCATCCTCTTCCTTTGAGGGTCTTGAAAGAAGATCGAATGCGAAGAAACCGATGTCGATGCCGGTTCCTGATGGCTGATAGAATTTCTGAGCCAATCCTTTATGGAATGGAATTGTCTTAGGCATATAAATTTCAGGATACATTGGCATGAAATTGCAGTTAGGTCCTTCCTTGGCAAAGTAAAATATGGTGATACTGTCATAAAGAAACAAAGAAATAATTCAGGAGCAAATGGAGAATGAACAGTCAATTCAGTTGGAACATTCTTGAAATCTCAATAAAATATTGCTTTTAATCATCAGAAAAACCAGGGAAAGTATGCATCTAACTTGAATTCGGAATCTCAAGCACATAAAGAAGTAAACTACTGGAATTAATCAAGCTATCAGTTCTCAGCATTTTTTAATACAATGAACCTTGATATTGAGCTGAACATAAAGCGGTATGTTTTTTGAATAGCGACCGTTATATAGCGGTAACGGTGCCGTCTGAAACTGTTATTGCATGACCGCGATATCTGCAATAGCACCCGCCATGTCGCAATCAAAATAAACACAGCGTAATTGAAAATGTAACCGCAACCGTAATTTAAATCCATAGAGCTGAATAGTAGAACAACCTGGTTTTAGTTCAACTTATATTTTTCAGAGTGATGGATTCTACTATTCAAATGTTTTATATTTTATATACATTTTAATGATTATGTCTCAACATATGGGACATAAGTGTCCTTTACGAGTATTTAGGAAAAATAAAGATTGGAGTGACATTAAATGTCTAGCAATCAAGAAGGGTTCAATGGTCTTCACATTGTCTCCCTTTTCTATGAAAATGCTTTATTTTAAAAGAAAAAAAGAAGAAGAGCGTTTGTATCATTATCATCAATAAAGTATGCCTTCTCCATGAATTACTCACTTCAACTTTAAACTTACTCCATCCATGAAGATTTAAACCAGAAATCGTTGACACCACATACTTAAAACCAGAATTTGTTCGAGTAATTATGTTTGTAGAATGTATTATCAATGACTACAAAAATTATGAACAGATACTCTCGTAATCATTCTAGATAATTAAAAAAACCAGATGTAGTAATGTATTAATCACGAAAACGTTCAAACTAGTGAAGATACAAAAAAAACTCATGACATATATGAGAGTGTATATATATATATATATATATATATATATATATATATATATATGAATATATCTGACCTGCCATCGACAAGAGCATCAAAAGTGAAAGAAATCAAGTGAGAATCCCAGTGAGTGTGATCAAGGAAAAGCGAAATACTGTCCTTATGAATATTAATATCATTCTTGATCTTCTTGGCGGTTGTGTGATCGACATAAGGAGGCGGGGGAGACATCATGGAAGCAGAAGGGCGGGGTGCATTAACATCAGGAGAAGAAGAAGAAGAAGAAGAAGACGGCGAGGATGATGGAATTGAGATGTTCTGAGTAGAACTGCCATTGAAGGATGTTGGATTATTTAGTGAAGGAAGATGGGTTTGGTTTTGATGGTGGAATCGTCGTAGTTTGCTAAGGGAATGTCCCATGGATTCAATTGCTGTTTTTCAGAACGAGACCTTTGTTTTTGGCATTTTATGTGTTATGGTTTTCGGCATTGGGACTTGGGCAAAGGATCAATATATATATGTGTGTGCATCATCAACTAAAACAAAGTAGAGATTTTCAATCGGTTAATATTTAATTTAAAAAAAAATAACTGAACCAAAATCTATTCTCATTCATCGTTAATCTAACAATTTTTTTCAAAAAATTTTAACAGAAATAAATAAATTTCGGTTAATTCGATCAGTTAAATGAATTAATTGAAATCTTTTATAATTTTTTTAGTTAGATTAATTTGAATTTATTAAAGGTATTTTTTTCCATTTAGGTTAAAATTTGATTGGGAATTAAAAGTTTAATAGGTATACTATGATTAAAAAATAGTTAGATATTAATTCTTAAAGGGTTTGAGATGTAATATATATAAAATATAAAATATTTAATAATTTCAATTAATTCGGATAATTAATCGGTTTCGAATCGAATTAAACGATAATCAAACTTTGAAAACTTTTTAATCGTCGATCAAATTATTATCAAATGAACCGACCGATTATCCAAACTAAATTTCGGTTAAAACCGTACAATAAACACCTCTAAATCAAAGAAGGGTTTATTGTCACTTTAATATTTTATATTTGAACACATTAAGTGATCTTAGTGGTAAAAGATAATGTTATTTTACATAGAGATTATAAGTTCGAGCAGTTGAGTCTATAATTATCAATTGATTAAGAAATTTATAAATAAATATGATTATCAACTGATTAAGAGAATTCTAAACAAATATTATCTTTGTACAAAGTCCCTTACTTTGTTCACTTGATAGAGGTTAACGTAACTCCACATGGTTACCCTACTTCCCATCATCAAAAGTTCATCTTCTTCATATGAAATTCGATCACAGGACAATTATAGTCTCTTCATGCTATTCTAAACACCACAAAAAACAACCGTTTCGATACTTCTATGGTTGGTCCTTACATCACAATTTTGATCGACTTGTAAAAGATAACTGGAATTCTACTCTCCCCATTATCAAAGCCGTTGATCATTTTAGCATATGTTTTTTGAAAAATAGAAAGTGGCCCATATGAATTGTTTTGTCACAGCCCAACGGCCCCCATCCAGTCCAATTTTGTATTTTACTTTTCTTTTCTTTGTTTTTGCCGCCGTTTGCTTCCAGTTCCGTTCTTCCACCCATCGCTGCTTTCCTCTGCTCTTGCTGATTGCTGTTGATCTGTTATTGCGTCTTTCTGATTCGACTGCTCTTCTGCTGATCTGTTCATTTGCTCCTCATCTGCCACTACTTGCGAGGTTGGAATCCTTTCTTTCTTTTTTCTCAAACTTCATTCTTTTATTACTAATAATACTTCAAATTTTGATTTCTGTTATGAGATCTTATTCTTTATATTCGAAACGTTTCTTTTTTCTCTTACTAATAATACTTCAAATTATGATTTATGCTGATCTGTTATGGCCATTAAGGTTCTAGACAGGAAAGAAGGATTACCCAAAAGGGCCAAAACCCTGCTTTGCAGATTTGTTGGTGGTCATCCAGAGTCAGGTTCCTAGCCAATGTTTGTATTTACAAGGATGAGTTATTTCAATTTGAGTCACCTTAGACAAATGCGATCTTTCTTTGGGCTCTTTTTGACAAAAACTGATTTGGATAATCAAACCAGATAAAATGTTACTATGTGTTATACATCAGACAAACTTACCAAAGAATAGTGTATAGAGTGCAGTTTGGTATGGTCATACTGTTTCTTGGTTCCCTATTTTCATTATTCTTTATTGAGGTTGTCTTTGGCTGGTTCTGCTTATGTTTCTGCTTTAAGGTGCCTCTGCTACTGTTAAGGGTTGTTTGAGGTTTGAAATTTCTATTTCGTACTCCAGTCTGAGAGTTTTATTCTATTGTTCTCTGTTTTGACAGAGTTTATACTCTGCCCATTTGAGATGTCTGATAAATACTATTGTTTTGGCTGAGTAAATAATAAAATATGAATTTGGTTATTTATGATTTAAGTCATCACAATTTTTTTGTATGTTGTGTTAACTGTAGGTTATTCTAGATGGGAGAGACTCAGTATGAGGTGAAGGGAAAGAGAGTGGTTTTGTTACAGTGGGAACAACATGTTTCGATGCACTTGTTAAAGTGGTGGATTCTCAGGAAGTTAAGGATGAGTTATTGAGAAGAGGGTACACTGATCTTCTCATTCAAATGGGTCGAGGGTCATATCTTCCTACGGAGGTATATCAGAACTCTGAGTGACTAGTGAACAGCTCCTCATTTTGACTTGTATATAGGTAATGAAATAGTGCTCGATAATCTTTAATGGGAGAAAAAGAATTGATTATTGAAATTGCTTTGATCAAATTGTGATGTGGATTTATGAATATGAGTTTAGAGAAGAGCAAGAAATAAAGAAGTATCAAATTCTTCCAACAGTGTTCTAAGCCAAGTTCAAATCTTCCAACAGGATTCTATGTCAAGTAATTCACAATTTTGTTATCGGTTTGCTGGTTGCTTTGAATGTTTCAAACTTTTAATGATGAAGATAGAGTTTTATTCCATTAGATATCCAAATTAATCTATGCCACTTCTCTTTTGAAATGAAGATTGCATCCTTTTCTTCCTTTTGTTTTATTCTGTGATTTTCCTAAGTTTTATTTTTTAATGTAGTCTACTGGTGATGATGGATCTTTGGCTGTCGACTACTTCAAATTTTCGTCAAGCATTGCAGACCATTTGAGATCTGCATCTCTTGTGATCAGTCATGCAGGTAGCTGTTGATACATAGTTACATGCATATATTCATACATTCCTTACCCTGTTTATATTCAACTTTCCTTGGTAAAAAAATAGGGTATCACTCTTGTGTTCCCTTTATTCATACTGCAAATATTGTACATGCTTGTTGGATGTTATCTACTTGGTTAAGCATATTCTATACTGCTCTATTTTGTTTTTGTTTTTTTTTCCATTCAGAAAAAAGAACATTTGAGGGTTTTGGCGTGATCCCTGGATAACATTACCATATTATTGCAGCTAATTCATCACATATGGTTAAATAAAGGGTAAACTACGTATTTAGTCACCCACCTATTCTCACGGTTTCGTTTTGGTCTCCCAACTATATTTTGTTTTTCAAAATCATACCTAACATTATGTTTTAGTTTCATTTTGGTCACCCACCTGTTAAAAATTAAACAGAACTGTTGATGTGATATTTTTTTATTTTTTCAATGATGATGTGGCACAACAGCAGTTCTCTTTATTTTTTAACAGCGTGTGACGAAAACAGAACCAAAACGGGACGTTAGGTATGATTTTGAAAGAAAAAAATAGTTGGATGACCAAAATAGAAGCACGAGAATAGGTGAGTAACTAAATACATAGTTTACCCTTAATTAAATTGATCAGACATTTACAAGCAGAAGTGTAAGATACACTGGACCTGTTTTTTTGCTCAGCTTTTATACGCAACACATGATTTTGTCATGGCACAACTTCTTGAAGTCATTTAGAAGCTAAAGATTTATCTCGTTTATCTGAAATTACTATTTTTGTGGTTGTCATGAGTATTTCTGCTAGATTCGTGTGTATACATTGTTAAATTCTCCAAGCACAAAAAACACTGTTCAGGAACTGTTTCCAACAATAATGCAGGTTCCGGGAGCATATTTGAGACCTTGCAGCTCGGCAAACCATTAATCGTGGTTGTCAATGAAGATCTGATGGATAATCATCAGAACGAGCTAGCGGAAGAACTGGCAGAGAGAAAACATTTAGTTTGTGCTCGTCCTCCTACACTTCACCAAACTATAGCCAGTATGGATCTGCAGACTCTTGTTCCATACTCTCCTGGAGATGCCACACCGGTGGCCAAACTCATAAATAGGTTTCTTGGTTTTCCAGAAGATTGAGGAGGCTGAATATAGTTCAAGAAACTGAGCATTCATAGGTAAAGCTTCTTGTATAATATGCCAATGGGCCCAACCAAAGTTTATATAATTATATTATATTGTTTCTTTCCTGGATGAATGGTACCTCTTGAGTATCATATACAATTCCCACCCACGTGAAGATACCCTAAAAAACATGTAATGTCATGTTAACCATTTAAAAACGGAAATCCTCTGGTATTTTCTGTTTATAAGGTAGTGATTTTGGTTGATGCCATGGTAATGCTGTCTTGAGCATTACCATCTCTGTTACCTGGATTTAGGGTTGGTGTGCGTCATGTGTGCAGAGATGAACCGAGAGAGTGCTGGAGGGGTGGTTAAAGTCTTACGCCCTTAAAGACCAAAATGTGTTGCTTCACCTTGTTGAATGTTTGGCTTGAGATTTAGAGAATTTGAGAAATCTAAACTGATGGGTTGAAAGAGAAGGTCAAAAGGTATTTATAAATGGTATTTGATAAACATCGGCCATCATCAGAGGTGGTGGTCGGAAACAGATGATGTGATGGAAATCTTTGCCAGATTCTAGCTCTACTGCTTTATCTTTAAAAGCTAATGAAATTCTCGGTGTTTTCAACATCAAAACCTATTTATAAATGGTATTTTGTAAACAAAATCACTAGCATATCATCCCCTTCGAGACTGATGTTTGAGTAGCCATGCTTTGCACAAATTCAAGAGCCAAAAGTGTTGTTGTTCTATGAAAGAGGCTGGTTCGTGGCTCATGTTGTTGCAGTTAGGACTGTAATTAGGTGAGACAAATTACGAGTTATTCAAGTTTAATTTAGTAAAGTTAATCTAACATTAGAACTTGATTTGAATTCTTAAAAGTTGAAATGAGTTATTTGATATTCGACTTGAAAAGTTGAGAACAATTTAAAAAGATAATATGTTAAAATTTAATTTTAAATTTAAATTATAAAAATATAAAATTTATTAAAATGTTTCATAATTCTACTATCAAGTGGGTGTGCACCTAGTCTTCAATTGTTGCCGTGCACTTGGGCACACCTTCAGTTGTTGCATTGTATCTTACTATTAGATAATAGGGTAAAATACACAAGTGACCACTCAAGTATGATAAAAGATCATTTTGACCATCAATGTTTCAATTAAATCAATCAGACCATGCAATTATTTAAATACTTTAATCAAGCCAGCCATTAACATTTAACGGAGCAGATGAGGCAGTTAAAATATTTTGGTATAATTATATAATTAGTCTCTGTTATTTATATATTCTTTCAATTTGATCCTAATTGTAATAAATTAAAATAAATTTAATCATAGAATCAGGAGGTGTCATGTGTTATTGGTGACACTTGTCTCATTCAATCGGATAATTAAATTTATTTTAATTTAATATATTTATTTTTCACCAATAAAATCAACCCAATAAAATCAAATGGTTGCACCCTCTTTTTTTAAAAAAAAAACTACGGAATAAGAGGGGCAAGGTGAATTGAAGGTGAATTGAACCTAACACCTTTGGCTGGAATAAGAGAAGTCAAACCATTGAACCAAAGCAATCATTTAAAATGATTTTGACAATAAATGACATATATATTATATCTTAGAATGTAAATGTTTCGCTCAAAATTATTAATATTTTATATATCTTAAATTTTAAAATTATCTTTTATTTTTGTTTTAACTTATTAAATATATTTTATTTTTATTTTAATGTAAAAATATATATTTTATCTTTATCATCACTTAAAAAATATATTTTTTAAAATATCTTAACTTAAAATATATTTAAATATTTTATTATTAATTTAATATAAAAATATACATTTTACTATTATATTTACTTAAAATATATTTTATTCTCATTTCAAATTAAAAATATATTTTACTGTTATTTTAACTTTTAAAAATATATTAAAATATATTTTATTCTTATTTTAAATTAAGATACAATATTTATTAAAATATATTATTGTATCTTATTATTATCTTAACTTTTAAGTAAATATATATTGTATCTTATTTTATTCTTATTATTTAATAAGTTAAAATATATTTACTATTATTTTATTCTTATATTTTAATAGTAAAATATCTTATTATTTTATATTCTTTCAAAAACATTTGTTGCCAAACACATATCAAACGGTTTACTTGTAAGGCGGACTTAGACGAATAACTCAAACATTCATTGTAGCAAAAGAAGAATGAGTGGGAAGTTTGTAATAGAATCCTTGCGCTAAGCTTTAATTTATTCGGTCTTTTTTTTTTATTTTTTTCAATCATGAGCACCATTCCGGCTACAATTATTCGGAATTTATTTATTGACCTTTTCAATGCCTTTTATTATTAAATTATGAAGAAGAAAATCGTTCATTTCTGCCGTTCTAGAATTGGACTCGAAGATTCCTTTCAATCTCAAACATTTCCACTCTAAATACTGATATTCATTTAATCCTTGAGTTTGGTTACCTTTCATATTAGTCCCTAATCTCTTTTTGTCTACATCTTTCTAATGTCATCACTTGTACATTTTTTTGGCTCAACCAGAACGTACGGTTTACTTGTAAAAGTGAAGAGGAAATATTCATCCATCGAGTTTTTGCTCTCTTCAATTTGCTAACACTGCTAACTGATGAAGATTCTATGTTGTTGTTGCATATATTATTTGATCAAATTATTCTAATTGTTTAATAATTAAAGTAAGTTATTTTTGCTTCATTTTTAATTTAGGGACTGATGTAGATAAAAGAAATCAGATGTTAATATTAACAATGTTATAAATTAGCAATATCAGCATGAAAGACTAACTTATAGTACGGAAGTAAAATTCATGAATTAATTTAAATAAAATATCCAAATCAAGGGGCTAACAAAGTTTTATCCAAATTCATGAATTAACAACTAATAAATCGAATGTTAATAATTAAATAAAAACGATTAAATGGTTGATGATGTTCGAATCTACACCAATGTCGTGGCTTTTAGGTAGAAAATTAATTATAGCATTAATCCACGTCCAAGTTGTTAAAAAACTAAAGTAGGACATTAAACCGGAGGACGGCTTGAGTCAACGTCCGGTCTAACAGTAAAACTTGAGGCGGAGGTCCCTTCGCCATTAGCGGCCGCCACCTTGGGTGATTTCATGGATGGTGCTCTACTAATAAACGGTGGTGCCGTACTAAACACCCACCGGTCCGACTTGTCAAGCCATCTCAAAGACTTTCCTCTAGTACTTGCACCGTCTTCTCCGATTCGGTATCCTCGTCGTGAACTTGTTTCCCTGGGCAACACCAAGCTCGTTGCTCGACCCAACTTCCGGTTCATTAACTGTTTTCGAACATCGACAGGTAATCGCAAAGTGAATCTGTCCGTGTTTTCGCATGGTTGGACCAAAGAGTGTCCGGTCGAGTGTGATCGTGGGAAAAAGAACCTACGCGTTCGGCTACCACGCGTACGGTTCCTGTTTAAAGTTCGGTTCAAGCCCATTACTTGAACCACCGGGGCCTCCACGTCGTAGTCAACATTATTAGGATTTCTCCGCCTATCTTCTTCCGTATCAGAGTCACCGCCGTCGTTTTGAGACTCGAGGTCCACTTCGGCGACGTCGGTGGGTTGACTCACCGAGTGATCAGGTTCAGGAGCGAGATTAGCTCTACAAACGGGACACGTGGTATGAGAAGCCAACCAAGCATCGATACATTCAGGGTGGAAAACGTGGTCACATTTGGGTATCAAACGGAGCGTTTCGTCGTCTTCGAACTCGTTCAAACAAACCGCGCACTCCAAATCTCCTTTGCCGATCTTATGAACCTTAACTTCGGAGTAAACCATGGTGGGGAAAGTCTCGATCACAGACGCTTCAAGCCCACGCATCCCGCGACGGGAACGCCCAGTTCCGCCATTGAAAGGTCGGACGACGCTTGCGTTGGCTTCGGAACAGTTCTGAATATAAATCGAGAAGAAACCCATAAAGAACAAAGCAGCAACCAAGACAAAGATGATTATGGCCATGGAAGGGGTGAAACGAGCGTAGGGGTCACGGCCATCGTTGCGGTCGGTAGGTTGGGCGGCGGAGGGAGGCAGAGAGAGAAAAAGAAGGAAAAAGAGAAAGAAAAAGATAGTATGTTTGGCGGAGGAGGAGGACATGGTGAGAAAAGGAGCATAAGGGTGAGAAGAAACAAGGGTTTTATTTTATATATATATGAGAAGAAGGTAGCTGGAAAGGTGGGGGTGGAGTGTTGAACTTGGAACCTGCTTTCAAATTCAGACAAAGCCACCCACATGGGATTTGGGTGTAACTCACTTTTGTCCCATCATAAGGTTCCGGGAGATTCTTAGGGGTTGTGTGTTTTAAACTATTTAAATAATCATTCAATTATAAAATATTATTTTATTAAATATCTCAATTATAATAAATAAGAAAACTAACTTTTAATTATAAGACGATATTTATTGATTGTTAAAAATTATAAAATAATTATTCGGTCACTTAATGTGTTCAAAATAATTAAAAGTTTAATACGAGTTTTATTTTTATAATATTGGATCAAATTCAAATGTTATTTAGTTTTAACTGTTTATTATATATGTACCAAGTATAAAACTCCAATAATCCCTCAAAACTTTGGGTGTGGAAGTTAATTTGAAGTAGCTAGGTGGATGTTTTAGATTTGTCCCAAACATGCTTTCATTAATTCCTAACCGTCCAAAGTTTTGTTTTCATATGAAAAAAAACAATGGAAGAAATTCTTCCTTTCTATATATGAACACAATTTCTCAGATTTTAGTGTATTTTTTTTTAATTTAATTCAATAAATAAGATTTAAAACTTAGGCGTATATTTAAACAAATTTTAGGGTCAAAGTTTTCATAAATAGTTGAGCTAACTTTTGATTTCGTGGCATTCGGCTTGCTGCTTCTCTTATTAATAATTACTCTAAAAAAATTAGCTGGCCCTATTACCATATGTAATGGGATAAGGGGATGTAGAGTAGTAGGATGCCCCCAACATCAAGTTGAGAGCAACTTTCGTGAAAGACTCGATCTCACGACCACAAGATTAAGATCTTTGCGATATACCAATTAAGCTACAATTAAGCTAGACGGGCAATTCATGATAATTACTCTCACTAAAGTCAAAATTTAGCATTTACACTTTGATGCATAATCCAACGCTTAGAAAGATGATTCTTATATACAAGTTTATTAAGATTTTATTTTAATTTAATAAGGATGTTTTTATTTCTTATATGTTTATAAAATTTTAAATATAATAATTAAAAATTTATATATAAATGTTTTATCATTCTATTTATTCATGTAATTTTTAAAAATATGATTCTTATATAAAATATTTATTTTTACTCACAAAATAAGTTCCATAGAATTACATTGTTAATTATTAGTTTCATTTTTTTATTATTAATAAATAACCAGGATCACATTAATTGTAATTATTTACAACACTTTCAAAATAACTATACAAATTAATAGTTATAAGTGTTAATTTATAATCAATCTATTTTTTTTAGTTTCATAAGTCCATTATACTGAATACAATATATTATGATATTAAAATTATTCTAAATATTTTATTTTTAAAGTAAATTCATTTAGCGTCGCTGTAACTATATATGAACAAACACATTTTCAATACAAAGTTAAAACAAATACATTGCAAACATTGAAAAAACAACAATGAATTATAAACATTGGAATCGAACCTTAAACCTAACACTAATTAAATTCTCGTTACGTCTACTATTAGGCAAATGTTCTTTATTAATTATAACACGAGAATTTCATTTTCGTGGGCGTTACACAATTATTATATATCTTTATTATTGTATATAATAACAACTTAATAGTATATGAATCCCTAATCAATATAAAATTTCATCATATTTGGTGTTAGAGATTTAAAGTGTATAATATTGATGATTCAGATAAGATAAAATTTATTTTTTATTAATATTTTAAAGAATAATATTTTTAGCAGTAATCGGTTTGGTTTAATAAAATATCTTAAAGTAAATTCCTATTTTATAACAAAATTTAAATTATTAGGTTAACATAAATAAAATGCACAACATTATCTCAATAGTCAGATTTGAAACGAGGACTCAATATGTTCAACATAATTATATCTTAATATCGTGATTAACATTAGATTTCATATTTGCTTCGAAAATACTCCCTCCAATTATTAAAGTGTAAATATTATGCATTGTATATATAATTTGATGAGTAACATAATTATAAATACTTAATAAATTAACCTAAGAAATATGTTAACTCGTGTTTTTTTATCCAGAGAGTTTATACTTAAGAGAAACCAATTTTCTTGGAAAATCAAAACTAGCTTCAATAATACATCCAAGTACGTTTTCGCAATCTAGTATCTTATTATTAATGATTTAATATGACATATTATAATTATATATTATGATCGGTTCTAACAAAGAAAATCAAGACTTCATCGTATCAAATCTTTAAAACATAGTTGGTACTTTCTCTAATTTTGGACTATTTATTAGAGAGATTTTAAGATTGTACCATTATAATATTTAGAGTTAGCAAATTCAATGTGCAAAAACAAGTTTTGCGATAACTCCAAGTGTTTTTTAACGTATGTATATATTGATTATTTTCGTGATGAAATCAGAGATAGGTAGCACTTATATAATTGATTATTCAACATAGTTTATTGTTAATGTTCGATTACTACAACAAAAATACTATTTTTTTTAGTATGACTATCCAAAAACTTGATATTAATGTTGTGTTGGGTATCTCAAGATAAGAATTAATCATTATTTTTGAATTTATTATTTGCTTTGTGAATATTGATATGAACTCATATTTATTTTTGTTCTATATTCAATTAATTTTTCTATTGTCATAATTTCTGTTAATATCAATTTAATTCTCATGTTTAATGGGTAATTTTTAAAAAATGAAAAAGATACTTGTTGTGCTTCTACTTAATTGTATGAACATAGACATTGCACTAAGGCAAAAACAACTTGCACCTCTTACAGCAAAAAGCAACACCTGTCTTATTTCATCTGTCAATGTTATGTGAATTGTTAAGGTCAATGGTTAATCCCAAAATAAATTTTATGAAACATAACTAGCGAAACACACTGTCACTAGATGCACTCAATAATAACGTAACAGATTAGAGACATAATCGTATGTCAAACGTCCAATAGAATATTAAGCTCAGGTGGGATGCCATCTCTCAAATTTTATATTGATATATAAAATCAATTGATCCCATAAATGAGGTTATAATTAATTATAATGATAATAAGATAAAAAAAAAATAATTGTTAAAAGCGTATTTTAGTTTCTGATTGTTAAAACACCCACTTCTTCATCCCCTATAGTTCTCATTTGAGATCTCCAATGTAAACAATGGCGTTAGAAGCTGTGAAATGTCAGCAAGATTTGTGTGGTTACAACTGCAATTGGAGCCATGATTTCGGCCTAGAAAACCAAGAATCTCAAGATTCATTTGGATATTTTCATGACAACCAAACAATCGAGATTAGTGATTATTTTGTTTAAGGGAACTCATCTTCATCAATGGCTGCACCTGTATCCCATTTCATTCACCAACATCATAAACGGCAGCACCATTGCCCAAATTCATCATTATCATCTTACTACGACCCTTCAGCTTTCGGTACTTGAGCAACAACTTACAACCGTCACAAGAGACGATCGAAGACTAGGAAGAACAAACAAGAGATTGAGAACCAAAGGATGACTCGCATTGCTGTCGAGCGCAATAGAAGAAAGCAAGTGAATCAGTATCTCTCTGTTCTTCCATCTCTAATGCCAGACTTTCACGTTCAAAGGTATTTTTCTTTCCATTCATTACCACCATAAATGCAAAGTTATGCAAGAGAACACGGAAATTTACTTGAATTCAAGAAAACTGTAAAGCAAAGAAAATGTGAAACCAAATGCTACGGTATTTCGACACAACTTTTAAAGATTTCAAAATATCCACATTAGTATCCTATTAAACATCACGGATCAACTTATTCAGATGATACAGTAAACAATCGTATGCTTGAACGATCATATGATTTCATATAAGGAAGCAAATCAAAGGGCCTCAGTGTAGATGTTAGGTCTTTGATTGTAAGATCAGCCTGATCTGCTAGTGCAAGAAAATGATCAAACGTATCGGCATTCCGAATGACGGAAGCAATGTAAGCAACAGGGTTGGCCACTGATACGAGATCGGCAGCATCATTAATAATCCCTTTTACCTCACTCGTATTGATGGGATGAGCACGAAAACTAGATGCATCGTTTATCTTATTGTCTTCGCATGTGACGTCGGGTAATGAGTTTGGAGATTTTCGCTCCCGATCCTCCGTACATGACTTCCTTTTGTTCAACAGAATGGCCAGTACTTCAACAAGATGTGGAAGACAAGATGGATCATAAATAACATCTGCACCCAAACTGTAGACACCAACATCAATCTCACAACTATCACTACGTATATATTTAACTAACAATTGATCAGAAATTGTATTAGAAAATGCAGACTTATCATCAATACCCTTCCTTCAAAATTCGAATTGTAATCGTGTTCTTCTTCCCGATCAATGAAAAGGGGCAAATTAAAAGAGGACCAATATACTCACATAATTTCTGGCATGTAGTCTTGCAGTTCCTTTTCTGATGCTGATTCCCAAGGTAAATGAATGCATTTGACCTAAGAATAACATTTATTTAAACTTTGATGATGCAATAATTAACTTTTAAAATTTGATTAAACAGGTATGACCTTTGAGTATAAATGAATATCTTTTGCGCAAGTAACAAAGTCAGCGAAGAAAGAGCCTCACATGCCCGCATTTGATGCAAAAAGTTATAGATTTCCTTCATTGGTTTTATCATGATAATATTGAAAGCAAAATTAATGGTTCATAGGGTTCAAGCCAAAGATCTAACCGGTTGATGACTTGATGTGTTTCGAATGTTAAGTATAAGACGAACCAATTAAGTACTCAAAACAACGCCCCAAAACCCAGGATCAACTAAAAAGATTCAAACTACAATGATAAATGAAATGATTCATCCGGTTAGTTATTTATCACAATGAATCTTCAACAATGCCGGATCTTAGACCGATCACTGCATGTTTATTATAGCTGTCACCAATATAAAATTTCAAGGAACATTCTTTCTTTTCATGTAAATAGTCCATCATCACCTCGGCTTAAGGTATATCCATGAATATTGTAATAAAACCAATATATTCAAGAAACACAACCATCTAATGGCTGCAGAAGGAAATGGCTAGGTATGAAATGCCTATGACGAGAACTCACCACATTATGATTTTCGATATTTGTTTCGAGCAAATCGGTTTCTGTGTTCAGCTGATTCTTCTCCAAATTAAGCTTCATGTTAGCTAAAGTCGAAAAATCACCATCACTTAATATCACCTGCACCAGGTAAAATTACCGTGGTCTTCATCATCATTTAACATTAAACGACAACGAATTCTATGTTAGTAATGATTCCCCTAAAAAAAATAGGATAAATTCCATCCAGGAAAACACTAAACATCCTCATTCAAACAGAACTGCAATCCCATTACTAGTTAAAACATAAATTTTGCTTTTAGCAGCCTTTTCCATAGAACGATAGTCAAGGAAGTGAAAGATTAACAAACATGAACAACTATTAACCTAAAACACTTCCATTTGACGGTTGGAAGACTTAATAGTCATAAAGAGCGATTACTTAAACATGTCCTAGATCATGTTGCAGAAGGCTTCCACTGCAACTATAATATTCCAAAGCAGACATTTTATAACTTGCAACCAAGCAACAAATATTAAGAAAATAAGTTATTCCTTCAAAATTAAGCAACATCGATGATATAAAAATGGTGATAATTTTTGTAACTGTACCAAGTTAAATAACAAACCTTGGAGGCTTTTACATGAGCTAGACAAATTCCTACCAAGCCAACACCGGATCCAACCTGTTTTAAGAAATAACAATCCTGAAGTAAATCGAAAAGTTGAATTCGAGATGATATTCTACACAGCCAAGTAGAACATCGAATGAGTATCCAACCTCAAAGCATGATTTCCCTGAGAAAATATGTGGGAAAGAAAGTATCAACTCTGAGAGGAAAAGACTGGAGGGCCAAACTGAGCACCTGTATTAACCAAACCCATTAGAAACAAAATCATCTTAGCTACATGCTGAATATAGGGAAATGAAAAAAGAATAATAAACTCAATCTGCATAATCAGAACCAAATGCGGCAATTCTTATGCAGAGACAAATGTGAATCAACTAAACATACCCAGTATCTCCCTCAAGCATGTTGAGTGAACATTGTAGTGGGACAACGAGTTTCCGTGATTTCGGACAACTAGATAGATTAAAACAATCTACATAGATCCAATATAAAGTTAAACGTGAGGTAATGCAAATAAGCTGTAAAATACCTCAAAACCAGCAAGTGATAAGTAGCATCTGTTACCCCCGGGAAAAAGGAAAGAAATGCATTTGCAGACTCTCTCATTTTCTTTGTCCTAATAGATAAACTTTCCATCAAAAACGATGAAAGGTCCATAAAGAATAAAGTTAGAAGATCTAAAGAGAACCGAACTGTGTCGAAATCATTACCTTGAAAGAAATCATGTAGGAAGCATATTGTTCATATAATTCATCCAACACATTGCCATGGTTTGATTCAACCTCTGTAATAAGCTTCTTCACAAACTTCTTCAAATAAGATTCATACCCTTTTCCAACCTGTTATAATTCATAAAACCGAACCAAGCTTTAATGGGCATTAATAAAAAGAGGGGGGAAAAGGATCGGTACCAAAATTCCCAATAATCCAAAATAAAACTTAAAATATGAAAAATCGAAATTAAAAACAAAACACACAGCTTTGGTTAAGCAATGACCCCAAATAAAGCTTTGAACTTTTTCAGTCACCTTTCCTCCACCACATTCCCTACCAAAATATATATAATACGTATCCCAAAATCAAATAAATTAATTAAAAATGCATGATACTAAATGAAAAATGATTTTAAATTGTGCCGGGTTCATGGAAACAAACCTGGCTAAACAGAGCAACGTATCGGTGGTTTCCATGGCCAGAAAAGCGGAGAGCAACTGGAGCTGCAGCGGAGACGTCGAATCCAGCTCCTGTTCCTCCATCTTTGGCGTCTCATCGGGTCATACCATGGGTTTTTTCGGAGGTTTTAAAGTTTTATGTAGGGTTAATGTCATAAATAACACCAAAGTTTGTTAAATTTGTCAATATATCACTTGTACTTTGAATATGTTCAATTTAGTACTACTAAGTAAATGACTCAAAAGGTTGTCAAATTGGTTATATTTTAAAAATGTTTTATGTGGTAGCTATATTAAGGTTATCGGGAATGTTTATGAGCCAGTCGGGTTGAATTGAGTTAGATTTTTAGTCCATTCGAATTTAACTCAAAAATTAAATCTTTTCATATGCATTTGATTTAATTCAAATTTAATAGAGTTCTACCTAATTCAAAATATGACTCAATTTTTTTTTAAAGAGCGATTGGTGTGCTTATATCTATACCATGTGGGAGGAAAGAAACCAAAACATTTTCCAAGGCTGGTCCAGAACAGCTTAAGAGATTCTTAAAATTATTAAGGATATAAAAGAGAAAAATATTAATAGACTAGATAATGTTAATTTTAACCATTGTAATTTATGGAGAATAGTCTAACTGATCATTTGATTTTGTAAGTAGATTGTTCATAGGTTTTAATTGGTGATTAATTTTTTGTAGCAAACTCTGTTTCTTTAAGTAATAAAATCAGAATTATCCGAAAAATTATGACTCAATATTTTAAGTTAAAACTCTTATCCAATTGTCGGCGGAGGAGTGGCGGCCATGGGCTCTTGACAAACTAGATATACTCGTATATCTATTGAATATTCCTATAATAGGCCCAATACATGGTCCATTAAACCCATAAATGTAAGCAGCATAGATCTTCCATACATCCACGATGTACCATAAACCCTTGAAAAACCGTAAACCAAAACCCCTCTGCTTTCTCTCATCGTCAAAAATCAAATCAAGATCATTACAAATTTTTAAGTTCGGTTTTGAACCCAAAAAGGATGGCTCTTATGAGGAGATTCAACACTATGCGTTCCCTTTATCAAATCCTTGATTCTCATCAATCTTCTTCATTCCTGTAAGCTCTCATTTACTTCTTCCAATTTACCACTTTGGGTCCTTCAAAATTTTATAGAATTTCTTTTTTTCTTCAGATTTTTAAAAAGATGTTTTGATTTTTTTCCTGTTTAAATAAGGAAACTCCATTTCTAGATATATGGGTTTGTCTTACATTTTCGAGATATTACAAAATGCAATGTTTGGTTACTCGGAAAATGAAGGAAATATGATAGAAAACAGAAGAATATACATTTTCTAGTCTCTTTTATTTTTTTGTTCATGTTAAAGCTTTGATTTTTTTTTTCTGGAGCAGAAGCTTAAGAAGATATTCCAGTGGGTTTTCAAATGGTAAGAAATTTTCATTTTGTCAAACGCGATCAGATGAGCTTAGTGAATTTTATATCCATACAAGAAAGTTCTTTTTATCATAAATTTATATGGTTTCATTGTTCTCAGTGCCTCAATTCTATGGCCAAGGTGTGACTTCTTGCTTATATAAGACAGAAAATAATGCTCTACCTTGGACTTGTAGAAACACAATGACACTTCGTTCTACCATGGTAACATTCTGAAGTATGAAATGCAGAAGTTAGTTACTTTTTCGTTTTTATTGGATTTCTTGATGTTAGATTGCTAATACATTTAATGTGTCATCTTTTATTTGTTTTTATAGGCTGCTGAATTGTTGGTCTCTTTGAATGAAAAAAAGTCTTTATCTACGCAAGCTACTGCACAAGTACGAAAAGTGGTATGAAACACCTAGACTGGCCATATTCTATTTTTATTCATTTCTGTTCAGATTTGGAATGATGATTGTTTCCCTCATGGTGCATCATTATCATGCATTTTTTATACATAAATGTGTTTTCTGATATGTTATTAGTTAGAACATAGATGAAGGAAACTTATAAAGGTGTTCTATTATTCTATGATCAGGGTTACAAATTAATTTAAGCCTATGCTTGCATCGTTTGCAATTTCAGGGAGCTCAAATTTCTATGACTAGCCCTGGATTTGTTTATGAGCCTTATGCACCTCGCGAACCAATGCCATTTTGGAAGAGGTTAGTCTGACTTTCGGGAAGTTGTTATTAGACTAAGTTTAAAAAGAATTCTCCTAAAAGCAGCTGTAGCATTATATTCAAGCTGCTTTTGTCAAGTGAGATCAATATTGGGGAGATGCAGATAAAAATTCTTGAAACTGAATTGGGAAGTTGTCTTTTCTGGACATAGATATTTGAGGACAAGGTTAATAAATTTGAAGAATCAGATCCAACTAAAATTATAAAATGTTTTGGTTGCTGTGTCACTTGCCAGTATGAAGGTGTAATGTCATCTGTGAAAGTAAAAGTAAAGTTTCTATTGAGGGAGGGAGAACTGGTCCAACTTCAAGTTGCAAAACATGCATTACTGTTGATGTTTAGAAAATTTCTTGGTTCATTCTCACTTGACTTGTGTTGTAGTACATAGCCTTTTAAACTTGCTTCCGCAAACAGATCACCAATATGCCTTTTACCTTGTCTGTTTTCTTATCTGGTGTGTATCAGGTATTTCACAAGAACTGGTTGGACAAGAACAAAAGAAGATATCAAGTCTGAGGTAACCGTCTTGCATGCTTTATGCTATTTATTTGTTCTAACTCAAGTGTATAATGTTAGAACACTTTGTTTCCATAACCATCTTGCATGCTTTATGATTCCATAACTGTCTTGCATGCTTTATGCAATAATATCTAGCCATAATATACTGTTCTTCTGAAAGATCTCTTTTCTCCTTTCCTTTTAAATACCGTAAAGACAGAATAGTGATAATGTGAAGCTGGCATATGCAAAGTGTAATGTAGAATTTAAGATTTAGACTTGTAGAGGTCCACTGCATCATTGTCTAGTTACATTCTAGTTTCTTGTTTGCAGCTAAAGAGCGCCTATGCCATTGCTAAGTTGAGGAAATCTGGATACTCAAAAAATCAGTTCTATAAGGAGGCCGTAGAACTATATAAAGAGGTATGCAGTTTGAAAATGTCCTGAATTTGCTATTACTTTTATTTGTTCACTCTTTTAAATTTGTGCAATAGGTTCTGGAACTCGGTTTTTAACTATCATTACTCCGGGATCTATGGTGTTCTGGAAAACATGAGCAAATTAGCTTCTTCTTTTTCTAAAATAAAGATCTATATTTTCTTGTGGTATTGCTTGTAAAATTCCATTGATGGAACTGCTTTTCATTTCCCACAGATGAACACTCTAATAGCAAATGGTGACAAGACATCATTACGAAAAGTTGTTACAGAGAATATGTTCTCTGTACGTCTCTACTCCTACGTGCGATCATTCTTTTCTTTAAAATTTTTATTTTATTTTATTCTTTTGGTTTGGTTAGGCTACTGACAGAACCTTGCTTTCCAATTCATACTTGCATGTTTTGTGTTTGACTTATGATAGGCACTCAAAAATGAAATTAAGCAAAGGGAATCTATATGGAGCAACCTTCACTGGGAGTTGGTTGAACCTATTGTTAAAATACGAACTTTGCGAGCCCGAATGGTTAGTGCCCGACTTATTATTTCTTTGAAGATATTTTCATCTCCATATTGTATTTAGACTCCTAGTGGAACCAAACCCTTCATATATGATTGTAATATAGTGTATTTCCTTCTTTTTCTATCATAATGATGCTTCTATGCAAATGAAGGAAAAATACAGATTAAAACCCTAATCTTAATTACTGGTGTCACCTTTTCGTTATTTTAACTTATGTCTTGCCTTCTGGTGGTTCTGTATTACAGATTGGTGTTGATAAGAACGACCTTAATAAAGCATTTATCCAACTTACTCTTGAGTTCCTGACTAAAGAGGTAAACTGATTATTCTTCAACTTCCCTGACTTCTTTGTATGGCTACATGCATGCCAATTTGATAGCAGTAACATATTTAAATCATGACACTGTCGACCCATACTTCGAAGATACCCATCCTTGGTATGATGCACATGCAATATTGCAGCCATGTCTTTTGTTGTTTATCGGATGAAATATTATCCTTTGTTATTGATTCTTCCGCAACAATTGTTGAAAACCACTTATTAATATCATCTAATTGATGAAAGTATAATCATGGATTGATCTCGATTATGTCTCCTTTGTTTTGACAGAAATTCGAAGCATATGATTCAAAAGGTGCTGTTGTTGCTGGGGATAAAAATAAGGAGGTATTGTTCGTCATGTTTGATTTGACATGGATGCTTGATTGTTTCCTCCCTTTTAAGTTCATTTCCTTTTTATGGATTTAATTTTCTGTGATATTATGACTTCACCGTAGAAGGTTAAAAGTCAATTGCTTAAGAATTTATTTTAGATTGCTTAGGATAGTTGGAGATTCTGGAATTAACCTACTTGAAGATGTTATATCACGTCGAAAGAACAACTGTGAAACACGTAAAGTCGGGTTGCACTTAGATGGTATACTACTTTGTATTGACATGCATCGGTGTATCGAAGCACAAACAATACCATGATTATACGTGGCTTCCTCTGCTTTGAACTATGCACATAAGTCTTGCCCCTGTGATCTGCAGGTTCTTGTCCGGTCCATCTGGGTATTTGAGAAATCTCTCTTTCATAAAGGAGCTCACTGGCGTCTGTGTGGACGAATTAAAGTGTGAGCCAATTATAATTTACTGCGAGTTCAAACCGATGTAATTGGGATGGTGATGTCGAATAAATTGGTCTTTCCCGATTTTGTTTGCTGGGGTATGTCGTACATTAATTCTATGGATTTGGATAGACTAATTTTGTTATTATACCCTAAGTGAATAATTTTATTTTTTTAAAATACGTCATATGTTAATTTACGAATGATCTATTATTTTCACTTATGTGTAATGGAAGTGGGCAAAATAATTGATAAAGTAATATTTCATATATTGGATGAGCAAAAAAAAACAATTTATATAACATTTAAGGATTTAATATAATATATATATCAAACAAATAATTAATTTAATTGATTTTTTTTAAATTACCTGATATTGAGTAGAAATATGGTTATGCAACTTGCGTTCAAACTTTTTAAGTCAACAAATCTTTTGGGATTGCCTCTGGCAATCTAAAATCACTTGTTTAAGCAAAAGTAATGACTTATAGTTGTGGTGTGGGGGACTTTGTTATGAAAAGTATTTTTGCTTCAAGTATATACAATTCTTTTTTATCAAAACAAGTATCGAAATTATTGTTTCATAATAATTTTAAGTTTATATATTAAAAAATATTAATAATTTATTTTTAATAAAATATTTCATATATAAGAATATTATAAATGAATCATCTTTAAAGTATTTTTTATATTTTTATTATAGTTTAAATTGATATATTTCAAATATCATAGTATTAATAAATGTAAATGTAATTTAAATGTTATATTTTTAATTTACAATATTATATCTACGATGAACATGTTATATTTTCAAAAATAACTTTTTGACAATAATCTCAAACAATTAAATTTTAAATTTTACTTTTCAAAAATACTTTTTAAAAGCAATATCAAATTAACTCTGTATTTTCGAAAACTAAAAGAGTATGGAATCTTATTCTAAATATCTAATTACTTTTAAGGTATTTTTAGTTTTGAAACTAAAAACTCGAGTCTTGACCTATATTTTTTTATTTGAATATTTTTTATAAAAATATATTTTAGATAGACAAATTAGATTTGAGTCTTATTTTGAAAATTTAATATTAATGAAATATTTATTGGTTTTAAAATTAAATAAGATAAATCATTTTAAATTTTATATTAATAACTAAAAGATTTAATCCAGATTACGTTTTTTATCCTTGACCGAATAAAAAATCTCCCCTACCAAAGCCTAAATTAACAAAAAAATAAAAATAAAGTCCTAACCATATAGAGGCTTCACCAAACCCTAAAATCCCATAATTTTTTTTCTATTTTTAGTTCCGAAGAAAAGCTTTGAACTTTGGTCCCAAAATTTGAATCTCAAAACTAGCCTTCAAAAAATCCCTCCTTTTTCTTCTTCGTATCATATAATCCTGTTTTATTAGTCTGTCGCCACCATTTCCCATTTCTCCACCGTAAAACAAAAAACCCTAGTCTTCAAGCTCCAAACCTCATCTCCATTACTGCCAAGAATGGGCAAAAAGAAAGTTACCCCTCAATCCAATGATCCCAAGCTTCAAAACCCATCTCACGAAACCCATCACCCTTCCAAAGATTCAACCTTTACAAAATCTTCCAACCCTTTGAGCCGCCAATCTTCCATTGAAGACCCTAAGGAGAAGCTCCAAAATCTGAAGTCTCTAAACTCTTTACTTGTCAAGGAGGCCTTTGAAAGCAGGCAACAGATTGAATCCTTGGCTCAAGCCAAGGAAGCTCTTGAGGCTGAGTTGAGTGAAAAGAAGAAACTTGAAGCTGAGGAGAGTGATAAAGATGTGAGCTTTGAGTTTCAATGTGAACTGTTTTCAGTTTACACGGGGACCCAAATGTTGGAACTTGGTGTTGAGATGGAAAAGATGATCGGGGACTTGAAAAGAAAAGTGAATGGACTGATGGGTAGTCTTGAAAATGAGAGGGAAAGGTTGAGTTTGGTTTATAAAGAGAGAGATTTGGTAAGGAAAGATTTTGAATTGCAGGTTAATGAGGGTAAGTTGATGAAAGAGAAACTGATGGAAATGGAGGAAAATCAGAGGAAATTTGTACAAGAGGTTGGGAAACTGAAAGCGGAATATGATAGGTTGGTTAGGGAGAAAGATGACTTGGAGAAAGTGAAGAGTTTGATTATGAAAGATAGAGATTTGTTGCAGAAGAACATGAATGATGCGGCGGAGGAAGTTGGGAATTTGAGAAGGGAGAATGAAAAAATTGTGAGGGAGAAGAGAGGGATTGAGGTTGAGAAAAATGAGCAAAGATTGAAAATTGATGAGATGGAAAAGGAAATGAGGGAAATGAATGAAGTTATATCGAGTTTGAGGAAGGGAGATGGTATTTTGAGGTCGAAGATTTTCGAGTTGGAAAACAACTATTGTGAAGCAATGGATCGGGAGGCTGAAAGAGCGATAGAGATCGGTGCATTGGTGGAAGAGAAGGAGAGAAAAAGAAAGGAGCATTGAAAGGTTAATGGATGAAAAGGATTTTGTGTCGAGATTATTGGAGGCAACAATGGTGGAGTCAGGGGATAGGCAGAGAAGAATTGAGAAGTTGTTGGACAAAATTGCTGCGGCTGGAAGGGTGTTGGAAATGAATGAGAATGAATTAAAGGATATGCACAAGCAGATTGAGGAATTGTCTGGATATAAAATCGAGATCGAGAAGGCCAAAAGCCGTCTCGAGATAGAAAATATAGAGTTACACAATAAAGTGATTGAGCTGAAGAATGTTGTGCAGAAGCTGCAAGAGGAATGCTCAGATCATCAAAAGAAGAAAATTGAATTGATTTCTGAAGTTAGCTGTTATCAAGAGTTGGTTGATCAAGTAACACTTCAGAAGGACCATGCTTTGAAACAACTCGATGGGGAGAAGCATAATGGTGTTAACTTGAGTTCAGAAGTTACAAAAATGGAGAATACACTCAAGAAAACTGTGGAAGAGCTAGCACGGAAGGAGGCTGAATGGCGGAACGTAATCAAGGGAAAGGAAGAGATGGAGAGTCACAGTAGATCAATGGCTGAAGATAGAGATAGATTGCATAAGGAACTTTTGGAGGCTAAGAGAAGTTTCAGTGATTTGAAAGCTAAAATGGAATCGACCACCATTAATTACGAGCGAGCATCGACTCTGTTGGAGAACACTGCTTCACTGTTATGTCAATTTAAAGCTGAGAACAATGGGAAATCGAAGGAAGAAGCCGTTGTTGCTGAACAGAAACTCGAAGATGAAATAGAAGCATATGCAATGAAAAATTGGAAGCAATCAAAAAGGCATTTAAGAACAAAGAGACGTTGGCTCAAGACTTGAAGCAGAAAGTTGTGTTGATGGAGAAATCCATGGCGGAAACCGAAAAGAAAAAGAGTTTCTGGACTTTAGTGTCTTTTGCAACAACAATTTTGGCTGCAATTACTTTGGCATATGCTGCAAAAGGACGTTGAGTGGTTTGTGGTTTACTGGTTAACTTTGTTTTCAGCTCAACTTTTTTCGTTTACTTGTAGGATTAACTGAGAAAACTCTAATGTACAACATGGTATGTTGTCTAGTTTTGAACTTTTAGCTCAGTGATCAATAATGGGTTCTTGGATAAGAAAAGAATCATAACCTTCTTCAACTGCTACATGCCAATGCTTCATATATTTTTCTAGTGCCATTCATGTGTTGTCTGCTTATATGTCATTTTGTTGCTTATACTGTTTGATTACACGTCTTTGTTATCCGGGTTAACGTGTGAGTTTTGGAGAACCCAACAATACAAGCCAATACTGAGTTCGAGTAACTGCGTTTGTAAGGTGTGTGTACGTTGTCAGTAGGTTAGAAAGTAAAGTTCTGAAATTTATTTGTTCACTAGGTATGTTTCATGATGACTAATTCAGTATTGATATAAATGCATGAACAAATATCATAGGAGATGAGCCATTTGTGATATCTTTTGTAGCTGGCTCCTATGTTTCTCGGATTTGGGTTTGAGTTTCGAATATATATAGATATATTCAACACAAGTTAGTTTAGTTTTTCAAAAACTTCTTTCATGTATATGGAAAGTCACATCTTCGTATTCATATTCGAATATACTTTACACATGAGTATTCGAACTTAAAGAAAAATAAGGAGTCGGAATAACATAGTTTGATTTTACACATTCAATACTTGGGTTCCAATCTCAGAAGAGGCCATGCGACCTTTATCAAGTTAGGGTGGCAAATAAGACAGTCACAAATGTCATCCAATTCTTGTATTTTGAGGCTATTCTATTCATTTCACTTTCTTCAATGGCCATTATTTTGTAATAAGTTAGATAACTTTTTTCACAATATAAAAATTATTTTAATTTATAATAAGAATATAATATTAATATATATTAAACATCAATTAAATTAAAAAATATTATTGTAAACAATAACACATAAAATATCATTAAAATAATATATATATATATATATATATATATATATATATGCTTAGTTGGTATTTAAAATCCTCAAACTTTTGAGGGAAAAACTAGTGTAGCCCCCTGAATGTGTCCCTTAAAGTGAGAAAAAAATAATTTAATCCTTCGACCAACAAAATCAAACGTTGACTGTTATGATGCTTATATGACAATTTACAAAACTTACATGATAACACAATATTAATATAGTAGTTCATCATATTATTGTACATATCGTAAACAATAACACATAAAGTGTCATTAAAATAATATATATAGTCAGTTAGTTAGTATTTAAAACCTTTAAACTTTTTAGAAAAAAACTAGTGTAGCCCCTGAATGTGTCCCTTAAAGTGAGAAAAATAATATAATCCTATAACCAACAAAATCAAACGTTAATAGTCACGACGTTTATATGATAGTTTATTGATATGATAGTTCATGATGTTATTGTGGCAATACATGATATGCAATGATATGGTAAATAGGTTTAATTGTTTTTTTGATAAGTTTGAGGAGCCATTGAATTTTTGAAAATTCAATGACTTAATTATTTTTTATAAAAATTAAGAAATTATTTAAATTTAAAATATAAAATGTAAATAATTACTAATATATTTAATATAGTACATATAAAAATATTAAAAAATCAAATAATTTAAAAAATTCAATTTAAGGAACACATTGAATGTGAAAAAATTCTGGAATCACTTTGATTTTTTTTTTGTAAAGTTTGAAAATTTCAGATACTGAAAACATGTACAAGTTAAAAATCTAAATCTCGTTTGTTTCTATTTTTAAAATTTTCAAGACAATTTAATGAAAATATTGAAAACATTTTTATACTTTCATATTATCGTATATTTTTATTTTTCATAAATCATTTTCTAATTTTATAATCAATCACGTTTTTTTAGGCGATTTTCTCCAAAAATCACCGGTGATCGGTATATATACCGATCTAACACCGATCAGATTATATTTCTCGATCTAACACCGGTCAGATTATATTTCCCGATCTAACACCCGTAGCAGTAAAGCGCGCCCCCTGAACCACGCTATATGTTGATTTGGCGCCACGTGGAGTATAGCGTGCCCCCTATACCACGCTATACGCTGACTGGGTTACACGTGGGGTATAGCGCGCACCCTGCTCCGCGCTATACGCCACGTAGGGGTATAGCGCGGATCAGTAGCCGCGCTATACGCCGTACTAAAATTATATTTAACGCGGTCCCTGATCTGCGCTATATAATAATTACATATAACGCGGTGCATGTACTGTTTATAAATACCTCCCGTTCTTGCATCTCTCCTCACATCTCCTCGCATCTCTCCTCTCTTATAAATTAATACAGCAATTCCGTCATCGAGTAATAATTCTGACAATCTTTTTATATTTGATTTAGAAGTTCGTGCGATTTTTCGTTATAAGGTAATTTTGTTATAGTTTTTTAATTATACTTATTGTTTATTATCATTATTTGAAAAAATATTATACTAATTATTTTTTAATTAATTTTTATGTTTGTAAAATTGAAAAGCGGGAGCATACGTCAAAATAGTTTTGCGGTGCAGGTAATAATATAAAATTATATTATTTAAATTATTTACGTTGATGTGTAAAAAAAATTTTGTGTTATATTTTCGTTCATATATAATTTATTTAATCAGGTTTGTTTAAGTTATTTTTTTGTAGATATAATATTGCTGCACTTTTAAACTCAAAGAATGGAGCGACTTTCAGCTATTGTTTATTATGATGGTGAAATTCGAGAAGATGAAACCGGCGTTGTTTTCGTATCAAATGAGCATGTTAAAATATCATTAAAGAGAAACATAACTCTTGAGGAGATGATAACGAAGATTTCGAGGAAGATTCATGTTGGAAGTAACAGAAGAATGTCATCGTTGCAGTACAGATTTCCAACATCATTGTTGCCATTAACTTATACAACGTTCGAACTTTCGAACAATGATGATGTTCAAATGATGGTTGAAGCTCAAAGTAATTATTCAGACGCCGCTATTGAGATGTATGCACATTTTGTTCAAGTGCGTGCTGTTTGGGGTCAATTTTTAAGCTCACACTATGGGCTGGCTGAACAAGTTGATCAAATTGACAGCCCGACCACAATGCGTTAATGCTGCCAAATACTGCAAGCCTGTGGTCCAGATCGACGGGACTTTCTTGTATGGAAAATACAAGCAAGTTTTATTATTGGCAGTTGTCCAAGATGGCAATCGCAACATTCTTCCAGTTGCTTTTGCTCTTGTCGAAGGAGAAGATACAGATACTTGGTCTTTTTTTCTCCGAAATTTACGTGCACATGTTATCACGAGGGAAAAAAATCTGTGTCATTTCAGATCGCGGAGCTGGGATCAAAACAGCAATGGAGTCTTTGGGTCCAATGTGGCAACCACCCTTTGTCCAACATAGGTATTGTCCCCGACACATTGATGCGAACTATCATGGAAGGTACAAGAAGAATGATGAGCGTCAATTAATTGTGCGCATGGGTAAGTGAAAGCAAGTTAGTAAGTTATACATTTTTTGATCATTTTAATTTTGCAAATAAAGCAAGTTAGTAAGTTATACATTTTTTGATCAGGTTACGAACTACTTCCTCGAACGTTTGAATCAATGCTTCAAGATTTGCGGGCGAAGAACGAGGAAGGATACGATTACATCAGCCTCATCGATAAATAAATGTGGACGAACGCATATGATGATGGATATCGATATGGACACATGACGACCAACTTGGCTGAGGCAATCAATTCAACCTTAAAGGGTGCACGTCACTTTACCTGTAGTGGCTTTGGTAAAAACTACATATTTTCGTTTGGGGGTGCTTTTTGCAAAGCTCGGGGGACAAGCTCAAACCTTGTTGAGTTAATCGATTGACAGAATCGACCAAGAGGGGGGTGAATTGGCAATAAAAATTTTGGTGGAAGCTTTTGCAGAAAATTGAAAGAAATTGCACAGCGATTTAGAGTGGTTCGACTTTATCAACCAAAGTCTACGTCCACTACCTTAGCTATCCACACTAAGGATTTTCCAACAAATTCACTAATTTGTTCTTTCTTTTGAGGCCAAAGAGATAACCTTACAACTCCCTCAATAATATACCCCAATTCTTGAGAACACTCTTTTCTCAAAGAGAAGATTACAAATTTGCAAACTTACAAGAAAAACCTCACAAGGCAAATATGTTTGCACAATTCTAGAACAAAGAAAGAACACTCAAGAATAAATACAATTGAGCACAATAAGTGTTCTTGAAAGCAAAATGAATATTGAATAAAAAATAGGCTTGAAATGCTCAAACTTGAGGTTTGATGCTTTTTCTTTGATTCTCTCTTGATTCTAGTTTCTTGATGTTTCTTGTTATTGATCAATGGCTTCTAAGCTTGCTTAAATACACCTTGAATCACTTCTAAACGTTGGGGATGATTAGAGAATATATTATAGCCGTTTTAGTGTGAAAACAATTATTAAAACAACTTAGAGCGTGGGGGGAATCGGTACCCCCTATGGGGAATCGGTTCCCTAAGTGTAAAATTTAAATATTTCGGCCGTTATACAAGGGGGAATCGGTACCCCCTTGGGGGAATCGGTTCCCTCCGAGCATACTGGAATTCTCGAAGCCAAACCATTAAGGGGGGAATCGGTTCCCTATGAGCAATCTGGAATTTTTGGCTTTGAAATGGTTCGAAATACTTTGTAAAATTATTTTGAAATTGTTTTAAATTAAAACTTAATTTTACACTTGAGTAAGGATTAAAAATGATTTTTGAAAGATTTGGAGTAATGTTTTGATATTCGAATAGTTATATCGAATATACTTAGAAAATTATTTGGAAAATCTTAAAATTC